TGGAATGGTAGAACGATTTAATCAGACATTGGAGAGGTACCTAGCAAAAGTTGTAGACAATCGGCAACGAGATTGGGACAAGCACATACAACCGTTTTTGTTGTCATATCGAAGCGCTGTACACGAAAGCACAGCAGTGACACCAGCTTTCGCAAACTTTGGAAGAGAATTACGGCTGCCTGCAGACCTGATCACCGGAATACCACCTGATGCCCCACGCAGTATAACCGATTATGCAAATGACTTGCGGAACAAAATGAATGACATTTATGAACACGTCAGACAATCGGGCCAGCAAATGTCTGAAAAGATGAAAACCCGGTATGATCGCAAAATGAACAACGGGTTCGACGAAGGTTCACTAGTGTGGTTACACAATCCAGTCTGCAGCAAAGGGAAATCTCCTAAGCTTCAAGCTAAATGGGACGGCCCGTACAGGATTGTAACCAGGATCAACGATGTAACCTACCGGATACAGAAAGGCGCAAGAGAGACTCCTAAGATCGTCCATGTGGATCGCCTGGCGCGTTATTATGGGGCCGATAATGCTCGGGACGAGCATGTCATAGGAGGGGACAGTGTTGCGCGCCTAAGTTAACTTCTGGCGCTAGTGCCATCTGTGTCGGGTAACGGAGCGAGTAGAGCTTTCCAGAAAATGACATCACTACGTCCGATACGACGATACGGCGACGGCCCGATAACCACTTGAGCTATTACGATCATTAATGCATTGTCAAAATTTACTTCTTATATTGTAGCAATTTTTCATTGCCTGAAAACACGGACAAAACGACATTTTCTAAAAATGAATCCTACCTAGATCGATTTATTGCCCCCGAAACTCCCTGGACACAAAATTTCCGAGATTCCGATTATATATATATACACAATTTGCTGGTTTAAAGGTATAGGATTTGCGACATTTTATTAATATCATTGGTCCCATTTAATATTGAATGGCATCATAAAATAGATGCAGATATTTTTTACACTCGACTAGACTTCAAAGTTTCATGAACATGTACTAAGCATGGAGTAAAACTAATTTCACGGATTTTATCACGTTACATTTCAACTTTCTTTATGTGTTATTTTTTTCGCATATTTGGATGAAAGTTCCATAGTAGCCCGTGTAAAATCGTTGATGTGAAGCATCTATGCTCCGGGAAATCTAAAGTATGTCAACTTGTTCAATGTCGTCCCAACCATTATGTCAGACCTGATAGACGAGAAATCCAAAGCAAAAAAAGCACTAGAACACCGCTTCCTACCAAGGGTGATTCGCAAGGCTATTGAAATTAAAAATCATCCTAATTTTAATATTGAAGATTGAAGATTGGGTGCTACCACCTGCTAAGGACTCCACAATTAATAAATATGAATTCAAACCCAAGCATACCACTGCAAGACTTCAAGATACTGTAAGCTGGTTCCGCGAAAATCGGACCAATAATTTTTGATTACAAAGTGAGGGTAGGTAGCTTGCTTTAACTAAGACATAAGTATATCAAACATCACAGTCCCTCCCCCCATGATCATGGATGCTGTAAAGCGTCCAAAAACGTTGGGAATTAAAAAATTAAACGCAATAAAATCATTAAAATTAGTTTTATTACAAATAAATTTTATTTAGATTAAATATGGAAAGAGCTACTCTTATAAACGGGAGTAGAAAAATGTACGCCTCGTTATAGCGGTAAAAGAGAATCCGCCTCCTCATATCGTCCCGTGTGTTACAAGAGGAAAACATCTCTGTCGCCTTTTAGGACTCTTACAGCTCAAACAAACAGAGATGGGCAGCACCATCTTCCTGACAACAGATCAAGATAATAACAGCTGCTGTTACCAACTCGCTTACCAAGCGTGGCAAATATGGCAAATTTCCAGATTATTTGACAATTTATGGTGAAGATCTACGTTCATTTCCGTGGACTTTTGATAGCCTGTAATGATGACGGTGATGAGTTCTACTCATCTTTGCTACGCCTAATATTTACGGAAATAAAAGCAGCATAATAGTCTTATTTAAAGTAAAAAAGTAGCAGCCTGCATATGTACACGTCGCCACCGGGCGCCGGCCACGGGGAGCTTTTGGCCAAAAAAGTGTTCGCTGCGCTGATTCCACGCGGAATGACCTCAACTGGGGAACTTCTCAAATATGCAAGTTTTCTTTCACTACCGAGAACGTGGTAAATCGACAGTTCAAATTGCAATTAAAATATGTACCCATACCTATATGCTAAAACATATAATTATGCTTACATATTAGGAAATTTCAGTTTGAATCAGTTTTATGCAGATGCCGTGTCACTCGTGAGGACTACGATGGAATGCCTCGTTTCCAGTAAAAAGGAACTCCGGTTCACTACACTCGTCACACGAAACACAGCAGCATTAAGTTACTATTTTACGCTGGTATTCTGTGAGAGCATGGTCCTGCCCCGATCGAGCCGACCCATTCGTGCTACAACTATACTACTAATATAACTGCAGCATGGCTCTACCACGTAATAAAATAGTTTATTTACTTACTTTAATTTATATTTTGTGACACATGTATACATGTGTCACAAAAATCATAATAAAAAGTAGGGTATGCCGCAATGCTTCAATGCGTATTAACGATTTTCACTATTTCAATTACTCAGATATCTAGTTTTCCCCACAAAGTTATACTTGACCATTTTAACGGACACGTAACTCAGCATGTTAACTTTTCTATAACGGATTCATTTGTCCTCGAAGGAATCTTACCTACACGCTTTGCTTCCGTGCCGTGCCATGATGAAATCTCACGACGAGCTACACGCCTCTCGTATTTGTTTAAATGCAATTCATAAAAACTGAAACTAAGCTTTTGCATGAATGTTGACCACATCTACCTAATATTTAGGCATCCAACGGTACCACGATATATTTCATCAAATTGAGATAAAAATTTCACAGAGCACCTTTTTCACCACATTGTTCATTTATTCATATCACATATATTCAGTAGCATTCTATTATTTAACTTTATCAATGACAAAGTCAAAGCCAAAACTATACTATCTAGTAATGTCATCGATAGAAGGGAACATATATTTATTACATCAATAAGACATAAAGTGATGTCCAATCTGTTAAAAATTCTGTTTCTGTTAAAAAATACGCTATCAGTGACGCTAGTGATGAAAAACGATTGGTCAATATTCTTTCATATTTATCATGAAATAGTTGTGTTTCGTTATTAATATCGTCAAACAATCTCTATGGATTGACTTGGTCAAGCTATATCATGACATAATAGACAGTGTTAAATATCACGAAATGACAGCATTTAGCGAAAAAATTATTTATAATAAATGATCAATTTTACGATCTGGTCACGAGATAACATATAAAAATCTGTTTGATAAAACTACAATACTAATAAAAAAATTGCAATTGCAATAATTGCAGGCAGACCAGTTTAAATCGGTTTAATATATAGATTTAGTAATTAAAATAAAAATTATATCAATTTTCATAACATTTTGATAGCCGTCACTCTTATCTATTTAAATTATTACACTTTTAAAATGAAATAACGAAAAACTATAAAATAAACGTTAGGACTTTTATGTAATTTTAATAATTAATAAATTATTTAAATATATGATAAATTTTTGTTATTTATATTATTAAATTTATTAGTAATTTAATAGTAGAAGGCAATATATCTAAATACTACTTTATCTATTTGATGCTATATGGCGCTGTTTTGATAACTAAAACGTAGATCGTAGACGAAGTTTTATATTATTTTACTAAAGTGATAACTATATTTTAAACTTTATTTATAAATATGGTATTTATTTAAAAAAGCACCCGTCATCCTTTATAATAAATACCATAATAATAGAAAATTAACATCTAAAGGAAGGAAAATCTTTTCTTTTTTTGAAGTTCCGTAATCGGATAAAAATTAGCTTATAAGTTGCCCCGGGCTACTAACTACCTACATAAAAAATTCTTCTAAATCTGTCCAGTAGTTTTTGCGTGAACCCTGAATACATAGACAGATAGACTAAAAACAGGGAAAAATTCTAAAAACCACTAATTTGGTTTCAGTATTCTTTATTTAGTCCCCCGGACTTGTTTCTTCAAAAATATATTAGAAGTACAGACACTACTTATCTACAGATTGTATACATAGATAACCCAAAAATCGAATTCAGCTTCATCATATGCATACAAGATATGTCGTTTAGTGTTTAAAAATGATATTTAATTTCTTTTCGGGGTTTTTCGGGGTTGAACGTTTTTTTATTTTCTAGTTGTATTATGAAGATGGTGCTGCCCATCTCTGGGTTTGTTGCTCTCTATCGCCTCTTGTCAAATGCCTACCTTGTCAAATGTGACAGCAGAGGCAATCTATGGACGCCTATGTGCAACAGTGGACTTTGATCAGCTATGATGAAGATTATGATAAAATCTTATGGCAATATATATATATATATATATATATATATATATATATATATATATATATATATATATATTTATATATATATATATATATATTGTTTTTCGGAAAAGATCCTATTAAATTGATCTGCAAGACTTACATAAGCTTTAAATCGACCAAAAATGGAAACAGCTGTGTAAAATTTATTTTTAATAATATATTTTTTGCAATATCTTTTTATTGAGTTAATTTTGTAGGATTTTCGAAAAGTACGTCGCATTTATTAAGTATTGCTTAAAACCTTCACTTGTCTTACGTAGTTTAAATTATGTCTCATCGCTGAAATAGTAAAAAATCGCAATGTCCAAATCTTATAATAAGAAATAATTTTTTCTTCATTATTTGGGCTTTCTAAATGTTATTTATCCTAAGTTATTTTGAATTTCTCGAGTAATATCTGCTGCTTTTAAAAAACCTTAAGAGATCCTAAATCTCTCACGAAACATTGCAATTTAGCATAGTTATTTAGAGTTAATTGCTAATTTGTTCAGCGGTCGACCCCTTAGCTAAGATGGAACGATACAGCCGTCGCTCAGCGGGTCTCGCGCGCCCGCTATCCCGTAATAACAACAGAAAATTTTACGCTCCGGGACAATGCGATATAAAATTATCTGTTAGATCCAATAATCGCACGGAACGGCCGGGACTTAATGCCGGCCAATCATTAGCTACGAGGGATAACGGAGCCGACGGCCACTATAGCCCATTAACGTCGCAAGAGAAGTACGCTCGACGATGCCCCGTGACCAAACGTCAATGCAACCTCCGTATGTTTGCAATGCATTCCGCGGACTTATCCCCGGGCGGTGGTGATCCAATGACTGACAAAGAAATGACTTCATTGTAACTTCAACAGTTTTGAGACTTGTCCGACTTTTATTGCAGTTCACGGAAATTTACATATGCGGCTGTTTGTTTCCACGAATAATGTTTAAAAAAAATTTTTACGTTGACTCATAGGTAAAGTTATAATTTAGAATTATAAAAAAATAGTTTTAAAAAATGTTTAAAAAATGTTTTGACAATATTACAAACTTTTTATAAAGCGTAAGTCCAATCGAAAAATGAGTGACGCTGCCTTAAATATGAGCTGGCGCTGCAAAATGGCATCTAGCAGTTCGTGACGTTCAGTGGTGATGCTAAGAAGCTTATTGGTGAAATCAATTTTGTTAAAGACAATCTTGCAGCCTCGAGCACAATGCAGACTAGCCAGCCTCCGATTTGCAGATTCCAGCCATGAATAACAAATGAAAGCCAAAACATAACGATCCATCATTAAGAACGATTCGTTATGGACGACGGTGGTTTCAAAAAGGAATTGGAGAAAAAACATTCGGACTATCACTACTTCGCCTATCTTTACCACTCTAGTGACTGTTGTATTATACACGTTTTTAATATCAATATTAACAACTGCAAACGCCTTACTCACACTACTCGTACATTCATTAACATAATATATCAATGCATAATTATGATTCACATAGCCAAAACTATTCCTCAAATAGTTTCGGCTATGTGTATCAGAAAATTTTATTTGCGTTATATCATGAATTTAACTGATTGAGGGTATCAGAAAGTCAACAAACAACATATGATTGTAAAATAAAATAAACTACCCGGTTCATCGTCATCTGTTACGATATTTTACCATAATTATAAAATTCGCCTGACACACAAAGTCGCTAAGTGATCGGAATTAAAAACTAGACTGAGATTATAACTGCGAGTCCCTGTGTTAGATCATATTCGTGTGATTTTACATTAAATTCAGCACTATTAAATTTTTCCACAATATTTGATAATTATTGCAAAAATATCAGAACTGAAACCAAAACCTAAATGAGGATCAGGTTAGGATCATTTATTTTACCGGTACATAAGTAAAACTTGTTCTGACTTAGTTTGATTTTAAAGAGTAACTGTCAATTCAACTAAGAACTTAAAAAAACTGGTATTTTGACCGAGATCTTAAAACCAAAGAACCAGAACCGGAAATTAATGAATCTTAATGAACTTAGAACCCATTTTCAATCCATTATTATATTGGTTTATTGTTGTAAAGTTTTTACTATATGTACCTTTATGATGCATGTTGTTAAAGCACAGGATAACTTTACCAATATTAACGTTGCTTTTTAATATGTAATGAATAACTAAGACTTAGTAATAAATATTATATCAGTATCAGAGATGACGCAGATCTCAGCCGCCCTATCATTAGCACGGAAAAGAGATCAGTTATTTACGCGGGCGGCCGGACCGTCCCGTGTTGGTATACGACGCAACCCCCGAAGGAGATGCATTCCACCATTCTACTGGCTCACGAACTCACGACTAACACAACAATAATTACCCGTGGGTGTACGCTATTATACATCGCGAGCGATTATTATCAATAGTTGCTCGACTTGCAGACGGTCACCGCTTAAAACCCGATGTAATGGGGCTAAATTATCTTAATGTCATAACGAGAGATGCAAAGTAGATTATTTTTCGATAATTAGAGCGAATAAATCAAAATCTCACGAGCGCATCCCGTTTTTATCCTTGTCTGCCTAACGCGTTTGAGGCACCGTCCTCTCTGTCACCTGGAGCTGTCCGGAGATTTGTCGCGGCGTGTGGTGCGCATACGCCGCCATTGTTCGTTCGCGAACGCCGCGGGCCAGCCATACCTCACCCCAACTCTTACTAGGATGTTGCTAATTTTCTATCATTGCTCTCGTCGAACTTTATAGACCTTTAGATTTTCGAAATTGAGGTGTCAGTGAGCAGTATTTATTGCCGCCGCAACTTAACCACCAAGTACCGCTCCAATCGGCAACAATATACGTAAATTCTCTAATCACAGCCCGAGGATAAGCATAACATTATTATTCGACCAGAGAGCAGTGATAAATTGCATAACTACTTATTAACTATGATTAATGTTATACCCATTTAAGTATTTAAGCATTGTTTTTATAGAAATTATATTTGCACATAGAGTTCCACATAAGACCACGGTAAGGTCAGCAAAGAACACATTAATTATTTTCTCACATCACTGCGAATACCTTTTCTCTGTTTACTTTTCGTTTTGATGGTACTCGATAGTATTTTTTACTCTCCAGCACACACCAAAACAATCTGCATGTGCACTTACGCTACAAGTAAAACTAACTCAGTTTAGCAAAATTCATTGTTTATACTACATATAAATAAAATTGAAGTGTGAGTTTGTAATCTCAAAATAACAACTTTACTAAGTGCATATGAAAGTATATACGATAGGTACTTATAACAAAATTTATGACAATCGAGCACACAGTCCAACTGATGGTAAGTGGTAGCTGTGGTCCATAGATATTTATATCTATCTTCGATTACGAATCAAAATGCAAATGTGTTGTCACCTGTGAGGACTAAATTGGAATACCTCCTTTCTAGTAAAAAGGGCCTCCGGTTCTCTACACTCACCATACGAAACACAGCAGCGTCAAACTCGCAGCTATATTATGGCTATAGCAGGAGTGGGTCGGCTCGACCGGTAAGGGACCACACTCTCACAGAATACCTGCATAAAATAGCAGCAACAATTTTTATTCAGTTGTAAACTTAAATCGAGCTTTTTAGTTATAGTTATTTTTTATTATACGAACATCCATTTCCCGCTATAAATACACAAACCGTTTATAACGCGATTAACAGCGCCGACGCAGATTAGCCCATACTCTAAAAATCTGTATCCAACTAGTGTACTTCCAAATGCCTTTAGGAGTTTGTAAATCGTTCGCTGGCGAGGTTCACGCTCCACTCATTACCGCCGCCAGTAATGTGTTCCGTCATCGAGATTAACTCTCCTCTAATGGAGCCAAGTCTTATTTATTTCTACGACGTCACAATTGCACCTAATTGAGGTTTGTCCGCTTTTAGTAAAATGGGCAATTTTGATCGTAATGTTATTTGCTCTGTTAACATTATCGACTGATATAAAATGTGTTCTGTGCCACATTATTTGGGTTTTGATAAATTACTCTTAATAAAAGGTATTTTTGGATGTTTGCCATAAAGTGCTTCGTGTGTTATAGTGACTTTTAAAATTACACAATCAACATAATTTGGATAAAATGATTCTTAATTTAAAAAAATTGATTTTTAAAATATATTATTTTCCAAGTAAAAGTTATGAAGTATACATAAATAAACATGCTTCCTCTAATTTCTGCGAGGTTATGGATCAATTAATCCACCGGTCTACTCTAGTGCATGTTGACGGAATTCATAAAAGACTTAAAAATATTTTATTTCTGAGACATGCACGTTTCCTCACGATGTTTCTTTCATCGCCGACCACGTTGTGCAGACGAGGTTCGAACTCGAGTTGCTCATTTACTATGAAATTTGCGAATAGCGCTTAGCCCCCGACTTACCACGACCCTATTTAATTTTTTTTCTAAATACCATATTATATTAATCTTATATAAGATAAGAAAACCAAATTGAAAATTTGCATTGCATTTTTACTACATGTTTACTATAGGCACCAATACTCGCTTACACAATAAAGAAAACTTTCATTAGTTGCCTTGACGATTTTCAAATCGTCAAGATATAATGATATCAAATTTTTAAGTAATTCTGCACAGTTATTTACCTTTCATTCAATCTTCGAACAACGCAGGGAAATACACTTTGTAAGTTTGCGCGTACGTAGTGTGTATGATGATGATGTAATGAAATAATCTAGTGTAAAACACCGATTAACACAATTCCGTTTTTCGGTAGGGTCCTATATGTCTCTGAGTTCCTGACACTGCAAACTAGCTTGCTTCCGATCTTAACGCATAAGAGCAGAGTAACTCAAAATTAACTATATGAATGAAAAATGAGGTGTGTGTGATGTGTGTGAGTGAGGAAATGAGTGTCTTCCCAATTGAAGTATTCGCTACCGTCATAGATATAGACCAAAATACATGGAACGCAACGAACATCCAAATGTATGTGTAAAATTATTTCTGTGCATTAAACGGTATTCCGTTTATTACGTGCAATATTTTTAATTAAGTCTCATTTTTGCATGACGAAAATAACGTGGTTGAAATCTGAAAGGTGAAACCAGACTATATTAATAGGTTGGGTCACATTACAATATAGAATTATTTAGTATCTTTGTGAGATGTATTAATTTTGTTTGTCTTTATACTTTTATTAATTTAATTTTTTTGCAGGGCGTGATGAATTTAACGCAAGTTTTCATAGAAGCTAGGGTTAAAAACGAGCATACAGTCTGCTTAATGGTGGGTGAATCCTGTGGTCCATAGAGTCCATAGAGACTAACATCTATCATCGCCTAAAAATCACCTTTGAGGGCCATAATGAAATGCCTCGTTACCAGTGAAAGGGTCTCCGGCTCAGATCATAGAATTTCTACGATCTGAGGTCTCCGGTACACTCACACTCACACCATACGAAACAAGTGTATCACGCTGTTATACTGCAAGAGCGTGCTCTACTCCCGGTCGAGACGACTTAATCGTACTGCAGTCATAGTACAACTGCATCGTGGCTCTACCACATGTATTTTTTACTGATTGATGATGTATTAAGACTAATTTGGTCCACGGTTACCCCAGTGGTACTAACAAATTCGTGTCAAAGAATAGAAACTTCTCCGAAGAACAATCATGGTAACAACAACTTATTATTTTACCCGTTATAAATTTTCTTAAAACCCTCAATGTCACCCACGTACATATTAAAAAGAGTTCATCAACAGAGGATCAAATTATAGAGCTAATTATACTTCTCGAAATGGACCTCGTGGAATCCATAAATACCCCTTAACGTGTTTAGCCCAAATCACTG